CTGTAGATCAGAAAATGACGGTTTTTTTTGGTCTTTTTTGAGACAGGGTCTCTCAGTAGCCCCAGCTGTCCTGGAACTCATGTAGACCAGGCTGGCCTTGAACTCACAGAGATCTGCCTGCCTCTGTCTCTCGAGGGCTGGGATTAAAGGCATGCACCACCACGCCCGGCCAGAAAATGAATTTAACTAGTACCCTTGCTCTTTTTCTTTTTCCCTGGGGCTGAGGACCAAACCCAGGGCCTTGTGCTTGCTAGGCAAGCACTCTACCCCTGAGCTAACTCCCCAACCCCCCTTGTTCATTTGTAATTGCCTTGATTTGTTTTTGAGTCCATGAATTTGTCCTTTTACATTCTATGAACTGGGTAGTGTTTTTTGGTTAGGAAGAGTGCACTGAGCAAATTGGCCCCATATTCCTATTCTCAAGAAGTCTCTAGTTAGAAAGATAAACAGTGACGTGTACTACATGTCAAAGACAAAGTATTACAGGCAAAAGCGAAGAGGAAAAGGGACTTCTGGCTGTCAACAGTGCTTCTAAAGAGCTATAGAAAGACTTCATTGAGAAAGTGATGCTGCAGCAAAGACCCAAAGGGGATGTAAAAATTCTGAGGTGTTGGAAATAACATGCGCAATGACTCTGAGGCGGTAGTTTGTTTAGTGTTGGTAAGGAAAGTAGGAGGCAAGTCATTGGGTAAAGAACTCAGGTCACAGTATAAAGGATGAAGTAGAGGAGGCTTATTATGGTAGGCCCATAGGCACTTCTTGGGTTTTGTTTTTGTTTGTTTTGTTTTATTTAGAGCCATCTCAAACTGTGCCTAGGCTGGCCTTGAACTTAGTATGCAGCAGAGGTTGGCTTCTAACTTTCAGTGTTCCTCCTGCCTCAGCTTCTCCACTGCTGATTGATTACAGGCATGTACCAACACTTCTGGCTTGGTTTTCGTTTTGATGAGATAGGAAATTCAGAGAATACTTTGCAGAGGTAAAGTGATCTTAGGTGTTTAAAAGGTTTTTTGTGGGTATAGAAGAACAATAGTAGAACCATAAATACCGTTGTTAATACATAAGTACAAAAAGTAATAGAGATTCAAATGGCTCAGTCCCATGGAATTGAAAAGAAGTAGTTAGGTTCTTGACATACTTTGAAGGTAGAAACGAGAGAATTTGTTGATTGAGTTCACATGGGTTGAGAGAGAAAGGTGTCAGGGTTGACCCTACCACTTTTGGTGATCTATTTACTGAGATGGGGGAATACTGTTACATGGAAAGCAGCAATTCAGCCTTAAATGTAATGACTGAGAAAACTCTTAGACATCTAAGTAGAGATATCAGCTAGGTAGCTATATTTGTAACTTTTGAGTTGTAGAGAGAAGTCTAGGTTGGATATTTAAGAGTCTTAGGATTATTGATCTGCTACCTACTTACCTACTATCTGTCTACTATCTTGCCATTCTGGGGCTCAAACTCAGAGCCTTTACATGTTAGGCAAGTGTGTTCCACATTCCAAGCCCCTTTTTTTTGTTTGTTTGTTTTTTTAATGATTTATTTGTTTTTATTATTTTATGTGTATGAGTGTTTTGCCTGCATGTAAGTGCACCTGTGTCATGCAAACCCTGCAGAAGCCAGAAGAGGGCTGGAACTAGAGTTCCAGGTGGTTGTTAGCCACCATGTGGGTATTGGGAACGGAACCTAGGTCCTCTGTGAGAGCAACCAGTGTTCTTAACAGCTGAGCCATCTCTCCAGCACCTGTTTTGTTACCTTTTGTTCTGTTTTTTGAGGTGGGGTCTCTGTAGCTCATGCTGCCTTGAACTTATGATCCTCCTCCCCCTCTGCCTTCTGAGTATGATTTAATGTTTAAAACCATATGCTTAATTAAGCCAGGCATGGTGGTGCATGCCTTTAATCCCAGCACTTGGGAGGCAGAGGCAGGTGGATCTTTGTGAGTTCAAGGCCAGCCTGGTCTCCATAGTGAATCTAGGCCAACTGTGGCTACAGGAAGACCTTTTCTCAAAAAGACCAATAAATGAATGAATGAATGAATGAATGAATGAATGAGTGAATGAATACTTAAATGAAATTACTAAAGAACACTTAGTATAGCTGGAGAAAAGAAGATCTCTTGGTTAAAAGACTTAGGTTGGAGGACTCTGAGTTTTAGAGATAGAAGGCTCCTATAAGTTCTAAGAAGGAACAACATCCAGGTCAAAGTGCAAAGGTTATGTGATCTTCTAGAATCAAAGCAAAGAAAATGTGAGAAGAAACAAAATGTTAGGTCAGTCTCCTGCTTGACAGTAAGATAAGGGCTTACTCTTAAATTGAACTTTGTACACAAAGCCATGGTAAACATTTCTTATCCTGAAATTCACTCTGAAATAGAAAATAGTAAAGCTCCTTAATGATTAGTTCTGAGGAAAATGGATGTATTGGTTTCCATACCCACACGCCTCATCTCACTTTTTATTTTGGGGAAGCTTTAAATTGTCAGAAAAGTTGCAAAAATACTATATCCAACCCCTATAAGCAGTGTCATTGGTAATTGCGCATTTGGTTCACATCATCATTTTCATATAATTATTTCTAAACCAGTTCCCCCAAAGTTTTGCGTTATTTCATTAAGAACAAGGCCATTCAAAATAGCCATAATATTTGAAATTAAGAATGCCAGTTTTGGGCTGGGAGCAGTGGCACATACCTTTTATCCCAGCACTCAGGGGGGCAGAGGCAGGTGGATCTCTGTGAGTTCAAGGCCGGCGTGGTCTACATAGTGAGTTCCAGACCAGCTGGGGCTACAGGGAGACCCTGCCTTAAAAAAATAAAAACAAACAAAAATACCAAAAAAGAAGAATGCCGGGTTTGAGGCTAGAGAGATGGCTTATCGGATAAGAGCACTGACTGCTCTTACGGAGGACCCGGGTTTGATTTCCAACACCCACATGGCGGCTAACAACTCTCTGTAACTCCAGTTCCATGCAGGCAATACACTCATAAACAGAAAAGAAAGTTAATAAATAAAACATTTTTAATAAAAGAATGCCAGTTTCATTGGTATAGTATTACTAGTTCAGTCTCATCAGTTTATCTACTAATGTTTGCTATGGCCTTGCTACTCAAAGTGCTGGTTTGTAATAAGGCATGTGTCCTAAAGTATATGTCAAGGTACTATTCAAAGTCTTGAAGTAGGAAGAAAATATCTGAACTAAGCAGCATTCTTTTTTTTTTTTTTTAACATTTTATTATTTTTTATTTTATGTGTATGAGTGTACTGCCTGCATGTATGTGAGTGCACCTGTGTTGTGCAATGCCTCGGAGGTCAGAAGAGGGCATTGTATTCCCTTGGAACTGGAGTTAAGAATGGTTCATAGTTGCCATGTGGGTGCTGGGAATCGAACTTGGGTCCTCTGCAAGAGCAGTCAGTGCTCTTAACTGTTGAGCCAACTCTCCAGCCCCTAAGTAGCATTCTTTTTTTTTTGGTCTTTTTGAGACAGGGTTTTCCTGTTGCCCCAGCTGTCCTGGAACTCACTATGTAGACCAGGCTGGCCTTGAACTCACAGAGATCTGCCTGCCTCTGCCTTCTGAGTGCTGGGATTAAAGGTGTGCACCACCATGCCTGGCAGCAGCGTTCTTAATTACATGGTTGTATTACCTTCTGGTATAAATTGCTTTTGTTGTCATGGACATGTCAGGAGCTGGACTTGCAGGACTAGCAGTCAGCCTTTGACCATATACTGAATAGTCTTTTATAGTAATTTTCCTCCAGCATTATACATTGGGTTTATTAATTGTTATTGTTGTTTTTGTTATTTTGAGGCTCTGCTGCCCAGGCTGGCCTGGAACTTACCATATAGCTGAGGCTAACCTCAAACACCTAAGCAATTCTGGCACAGCGTCCTGCTCTAGTTTGTCTTGTCTCTTTAATTTCATTAAAATGAGCAATTTCTCAGCTTTTTTTTTTTTTCTCATGATACACATCTTTAAAGGAGACAGTCTAATTTTCCTTAGGATGTCTCTAAATTTGAATTTCCTTGCTATTTCTTCATGATTACAATTAGGTTTAATAGAAGAGATATTACAGAAAGCGTCCTTTCAGTATGTCATATTATAGGATGTGCGTGATACCTGTTTGTTCAGTTCTTTGATCACTTAGTTTTCTGGGCCCCAGCTGAGTTTCCTTAGTAAAGTTAGCATTTTTCCCTTTGTAATGAGTACCTCTGTAGAGAGGTACTCTGAGATTGGTCAACATTCCTGCCCTTTTTTCTCTGTAGTTTTAACATTTTTGCCTCATACCTGACAGTGATAATTATAAAATGGGATATTCTGACTAGCATTCTAGAACTCATACTTTTATTATTAGTCATTAGTATTATTAGTTTTCTACTATACTAGAATATCCCCCTTTTCCCCACTATTTCTATATAGAATATAGTTAAGATCAGCATAGAATTTTAGATGCTTATTTATTCAGTGACTTATAATTATTCATTTTGATGAGCAAATTGAGGGCCCCTTTAAGGAGCCTGTTATGTCTTCTAGAGATTACTTGTTTTTTGTGTCTTTCCCTTCTGGCACAAGATACTCAGACTTGTACTTTCCTAGTCCCCAGTCTGAAACTAGAATGAGCTATGTCTCTGAGTATCTCTGTGTTACTTTAGTAGGGAGTGGTACTTTAAACTTTGTTGACTTGGTATGTTTTTCTTTGTTCTATCGTCCTTTCAACGTAATGGCCCAGATTTTCAGAAAGATGGGGAAAGAGAAATCAGAAGTGGCAGGACTCAGTGGTAAAAGTCTGTAATCCCAGCACTTAGGAGGTGGAGGCACGAAGATCTGAAATTCAAGGCCTGACTAAGATACACAGCAAGTTCAAGACCAACCTGGGCTACATGAGATCCTTTGTCTTAGTTTCTTTTCCTGTTGCTGTGATAAAATACTCTCATGAAAGTTGCTTTGGGTGGGGAAGTCAAGGTAACAGGAGCTTGAAACAAGCTGATCACATTACATTCGCAGTCAGAAGACAGCAATAAATGTATGCTTGCTTGTGCTCAGACTTGCTTTTTTGTTTGTTTGTTTGTTTGTTTTGGTCTTTTTGAGACAGGGTCTCCCTATAGCCTCAGCTGGCCTGGAACTCACTATGTAGACCAGGCCGGCCTTGAACTCTCAGAGAGTTCTGCCTGCCTCTGCCTCCAGAGTGCTGGGATTAAAGGCATGCACACCCGCCATGCCTGGCTCACCTTGCCTTCTTATTTTATACAGTCCAGGATCCCCTGCCCACGGAATGGTCCTGCTCATAGTTAAAGTGGGTCTTCCTATGGAGCAAGATAATGCCCACAAATCTGTCCAGAGACCCCATATCCCAGGAGATTCTAGATTTTGTCAAGTTGGCAGTTAACACTGTCTCACCCTGTCCCAAAAGAAAAGAGTGAAAGGTGAAAGTGTGTGTGTGTGTCTGGCTGTCTGGCTGTCTCTGACTCTCAGTCTGTCTAGATCTGATCTATAGAATGTCTATTATTAGGAAAACCAAAATTTGACAATGAGATTTTTGTTTGGGACATAGGTAAGTTAAATTGGACTCTAGCTGTCATAGAAAACAGTGGGACAAGGTTAAAATTGATTGTTGTAGAATAAACCCTCATGTGAAATAAATAATCCATTTGCTGAGGTGTTTTGTTTCTGACAAGAATTACATTGAAAATAATCATTATTGTTTTAACACTTAGATCCTGATAAGCTAGGTACTTAGAGAAAACTCTCTTATCTCTGTGTCAATGGGGTTGCATAATCTCCAAGGAGCAGACCTTCAGCATCACCTAATGTACTCCTTGCCAGAGGATTAGGAAGAAGGTGGGCAGTCAGTAAACGGATGTAGTAGCAGCAAGGTCCAGGCCGTTCTCTTTGTTGTTTTTGCCATCCTAGCCTTTTCAGTGAGTGTCTATTTATAATGTATATTTTTATTCAAAATTATGTTAAGATAATATAAATTCTTTTACTCTGACAAATACAGATTGTATTTAATACTGAAAAGACCTATAAATATGCCGTGTCATGTATGCACATACAGACAGTATAATAGAACATTAGTGATACATTAAAAATGTGTTTGTGAGGGATTGGGGAGATGGCTCAGCGGTTAAGAACACTGGTGGTTCTTGCAGAAGACCCGGGTTCGAATCCCAGCATCCACATGGCAGCTAACAGCTGTTCATAACTCCAGTCTCAGGGCATCCGACTGCCTCTTCTGTCCTCTGTGGGCATTGCACTACACGGATGCATTTACTTACATGCAGGCATAACACTCATACACATAAAATAAAAATAAAATAAAATTTAAAAAAAATGTGTTTTTCCCCTATGAAAACATTTTTAGTTCTGAGCCCTCTGAAGATGAAGAGTCCCAAGACCTTCCTGTTGCACGAAGAAATGATATTTCAGAATTGGAAGACTTGAAAGATGCTAAGCTTCAGACTCTCAAAGAACTTTTTCCGCAAAGAAGTGACATTGATCTCCTTAAGGTTATACCTTTTAAAATTTTATTTGTTATTTGGGTGTGTGGGCGTGTGGGTGTATATGTGCACAGTCCATCCCATTTGATCTGGGGATTAAATTCAGGTCATTAAATTTGCGTGGCATAACTCTATCTGATAAGTGTTGACCCAGGCTTACCTTTTATGACAGTTATTTGCAGCTGTAATGATAATAAAAATCTCTCCTGAATTCAGTGTTATAGTAGATGATCTTTTTTTTTTTGGTCTTTTTGAGACAGGGTTTCCCTGTAGCCTCAGCTGGCCTGGAACTAGCTATGTAGACCAGGCTGGCCTTGAACTCACAGAGATGCGCTTGCCTCTGCCTTCCAGGCGCTGGGACTAAAGGTGTGCGCCATCACTCCCGGCTTAATAAAGGATTTTTTTTTCTTTTTTTTTTTGGCTGAGAAATACTGATTAAACTGCAGAAAAAAATTGGCTTAATTATAGTTGGACTGTGTAAATTCTGATCTGTATGGATATCTCTTGTTACAAGGACAAATAACAATTGACCATTTGATTGTGTTTTAAATAGAGAATACACCTCTGAAGTAAAGTTTCTCCTCAGCTCTGCCACTTACTGCCTCAGTGGTCCTAGGGGCATCATTTACTTGAGGGTTCCTAATTTTTCTCACCTTTGTGCTTGCCATCACTGCCACCAGCCCTTCTGCCACCAATCCTAAGCTGGAAGCTCTGTATCAGTGTGGGTTAGAAGGCCACTTGAAGTGGTATCTGGCCTGCTATAGGTACACACTTCCTCTGGAAGAGGTAGCTGCTGCTTCTCTACAGCAGGATGTGAATACTTACAGCACAGTGTTCCTAGATGTCCTAGATATATATTCAGATTTTCAATTGAAATCAAAAGACTGGACTTTATTATTTTGTGTTGTTCACTAAGTTGAAAGCTTCATAGATAATTTAAAAAAAATTTCATTTACTATTTTTTTTATTTTGTGTATGAGTATGTATTGCCTGCATGTATGTGAGTATGTATTGCCTGCATGCACCCATGTTATGCAATGCCGTGGAGGTCAGAAGAGGGCTTCAGATTCCCCTGGAATTGGAGTTAAGGACAGTTCGTAGACTCCATGTGGGTGCTGGGAATCGAATCCAGCAGTCAGTGCTCTTAACTGCTGCCAACTCTCCAGCCCCTTTATAGATAATTTATATGCTGTAAATGATCACCCATTTGATCATTGAAGTACTAGTCAATGGTTTTAGTATATTTACAAAGTTATACAGTGATCACCATAATTACATCCCCCAAAGAAATTTGTGCCCAGTAGTAGTTATTCTTTCTCTTTGGAGTACTAGGCAGCCATTAGTCTGCTGTGGTTCTTTTTATTCTTGAGTAGAATTTAGAGCCTCATGTATGCTAAGCAAGTACAGTCATTCCCAGCCCCATGTTATTTTATTTTATTTTTTGGTCTTTTTGAGAGAAGGTCTCCCCTGTAGCCCCAGTTGCCCCGGACCTCTCTGTAAACCAGGCTGGCCTCGATCTCACACAGGTCCAGGTGTCTCTGCCTCCTAGGTCCTGGAATTAAAGGTATGCATCCCAACACCCGGCTGAGAATTTTTTTTTTTTAAAGCACAATTATGTTTCTGTCCTTCAGAGATTAAAAAAGGAATATAAAAGCCTCCTGTCTTTTTCTCCTCTTCCTTTCCCCCAGCTCCTCCTTGTACACAGTGCTTGAACACGTAAATAAGAAACTGTCAAGACTTTGATGTAAAACCTTGCAAGTAGACAATAAAATTCAGAACAAAATCATGTGTAGAGTGGCACATTACTTTAATCCCAGCACTTGGGAAGCAGAGGCAAGTTGATCTCTGTGAATTTAAGGCCAGTGTGCTCTGCATAGCAAGTTCAGGCCAGCTGAGGCTACAGGGAAACCCTGTCTCAAAACAAAATAAAACCTGAAGTATGCTGTGTATGTGTGATTATGTTTTAATTTTTATTCCTAATAATCATGAATGAACTGGATATGCTTAGATAAGTTCATAGTTTTAAAATAGATGAGATTTTATGAAAATTGATTATAGGACTTCTAACCCTCAGTCTTCATCTTATGTAATGCTTCATTTGTTTTTTCTTTGAAAACTTTGTGAAATAATTCTTCAAACATTTGTCTTTTTTTCTTGTTAGTTGATTGAATCAACAAGCACTATGGATGGAGCAATTGCTGCTGCCTTGCTGATGTTTGGTGATGCAGGTATACATGCCTTAGCTTTGAGTCCTTCTTGATGGGAAGGTTAAGTAACCACACTAAGGTCATACAGCTATTTAGGAACCAAATTTCTAATTAATTTTTTTGTCCCCTGAAAAGAGAGGGAGTAGTTTCTCACTGGTAGTTTTCTTTAACAGATCAAATCCATGATGCAAAGTTTTGGAAGGTATATTTTCTTAAATATCTTTTCTAATTGCATTGTGGTTTTATTTACAGGTCTACAAACCTGAGTCAGTAGGAACATAATGTCTTGTGGAAAGCCCTAGCTGGTAATCAGCATTCCTTCATTCAGTAAATATTTATGCTGTATTTCTGGCTTCTGTTACAAAAATAAATGTATTTGAAGGAGTTTACAATAACAACCAACTTCAGTGTTTTTTTTTTTTTTAAGCATTTTTGATTTTTCTTCTGCTTGTACATATTAATAATATACATGTAAAAATCACCTATAGGGGCTAGAGAGATGGCTCAGTGGTTAAGAACATTGACTGTTCTTGCCAGAAGACCAGGGTTCGAATCCCAGCACCCACATGGCAGGTAACAACTGTCCGTAATTCCAGTTCCAGGGGATCCGACAATCTCTTCTGTCCTCCAAGGGCATTGCATGACACGGGTGTACTTACCAACATGCAGGCAATACACGCATACACATAAAATATTTTAAATAAAATATTTAAAAAAAAAAACACCTATAATTCTATTGCTCAAAAAAAAGCATATAAAGTAGTAATAAAAGTAAGCCTATACTCCATTAACCACCTACGCTCCATTAACCACATTTAAGTTTTATTTTTCTTGGTATGAGGGTGTGTTTTGAGGCACGGTTTTCCTTTATAGTGTAGGTTGACCTTCAGACCCTAATCCTCTTGCCTTAGCTGCTTGACTGGTAAAATTACAGGTGTATCTTGTCTCTCTATATATTAGGTAAAAAAAAAAAAAGTAAAATTATTGGTTTACATTTATGTAAATAAAGTCATTTATCATAACTTTTCAGTTAAGTCAAGCTTACCTAATTTTAAAAATGCCTTTTTGGGGCTGGAGAGATGGCTCAGTGGTTAAGAGCACTGACTGCTTTTGTATAGGACCCAGGTTTGAGTCCCAGCACTCACATGGCGGCTACGAACCGTCCTTAACTCCAGTTCCAGGGGAATCCGATGCCTTCTTCTGACCTCCGAGGCATTGCACAACACAGGTGCAATCACATACATGCAGGAAATACACTCATACACATAAAATTAAAAAAAAATACTAAAAAATAAAAATACCTTTTTGACATTGCTTTGTGGTTTCTTATAGGATTAGTTTGTTTATTCTTTTCCTATTAGCATTGTCTATTATTATACTACTAAAGTAAATATCCTACATAAATCTTACATTATTTCTGTAGGCTAAAATTCAAACTAGGTTGCTTAATTAAAGAGTTTGTACATTTTTAATTCTTGCTTCCTTCCATGTTACTTTTACTAAAAGTTGTACCAGATTATGATTTCAACAGTTATGAATGGCCATTTCCCGGAGTAGATTTTTCTACTTACTAATTTTCTTTGAAACCTAAAATATTCAAAAACAGAAAATAGTATGTTCCCATGCATACATCATCTCTCAATAGACTGTCTGCCTCATTTCTATCTTTAGTGGATTGATTAGAGTAGATTCTAAGTATGGTATCATTTTGTCTGCATTAAATATTTTTAAAACTTTTAATTTCCTCCAGTTTGGACAAGGGAGCAGTATTGTGTGGGTGCCACCTACACGGAATAGAGCTTTTTTTCTTTTTGTCTTCAGCCTATTAGCTGTGTGACCTTGGGCAGTGTGGCCTAACTCTTCTATGTCTTTGTTTCCTTTGCAGCAAAATCATAGAAGTAATAGTGCAAAATTCATGGGTTGTTGTAAAGAACTAATAAAGTTAATATTAACTTTTTTGGGGGATCTTTTTGTTCTCTCTTGGCCTGGAACTCACTATGCAGACCAGGCTGGCCTTGAACTCACAGAGATCTCCATGCCTTTGTCTCCCAAGTGCTGGGATTAAAGGTGTATGCCATCATACCTGGCTAGTATTAACTTTCTTAACTATGGTGGCTGGTGCATATGTAGTTCTTAGGGTTATCTGAGGCAGAAAAATGGTACATGAGTAAGTTGACTTTGTTTTGCTCGTTATTTCAGAAGTTTGTAAAATACAATAAGCTCAGTTAATGTATGTTGAGTTGCTTGATGTCCTTTTACACATTCTTTATTGCTTTCATACTTTGCTATACTCTTTCTTTTGAAAACAGATTGTAGAATAACCATTCTGTTGTGATATCTAATGTTTTATAGTTTTAAGCAACATCTCATTTGACTTACTAATTTAACAAGTATTTATTATTCTTCAACTAGTAGTAGCCCGTGCTGTTTTAAGGACTGAAGATTTGTAAGGAAACAAAAAAAGCCACACCATTTGCCTCCACAGAATATATAATCCTTACTGAATATTAACACCAGCTGACACTTATTTTTATTCTTGCTTGGCTGTCATGTTACTTTTTAATTTATAAATGTCAATGGGCAAATTACATGGAAACAAGAAATTAGGATTTTCTTGTCCTTAAATAACTTCCTTTTCTAAACATTGCAATGGACAATGCAGTCATACTCAGATACCATGTTTAGTAGTGTGATTTGAGTAGTTATAAAATGACAGTTTAGATTATCTAAGTTGGAGATAATGCCCTTCACTATACCATATGTCATTAAGATGGGAGATTATTTATTTTGAACACTTGGGGAATCTTTTTTTTTTTTTTTTTTTTTTTGGTATTTTTGAAACAGAGTCTCCCTACAACTCCCACTGGCCTGGAACTCACTAATTAGACCAGGCTGGCCTTGAACTCACAGAGATCCGCCTGTACCTGCCTCCCAGGTGCTGGGATTAAAGGCATGAGCCACCATGCCCAGCATATGCTAAGTTTTTAAATGTGTTTGTATGTATATATGTCTCATTTTTACTATACTTTATGAAGTAAAAATAAGTTTATTGATGTTGTCAAGGAGAAGATTCTAGGTATGACACAACATAAATTACCTAGATCGAAGCTTTTTCTTTTTTTTTTTTTTTTTTTTTTTTGGGGTCTTTTTGAGGCAGGGTCTCCCTGTAGCCCCAGCTGTCCTGGAACTCGCTATGTAGACCAGGCAGGCCTTGAACTCACAGAGATCCGCCTGCCTCTGCCTCCAGAGTGCTGGGACTACAGGCATGTGCCACCACGCCCGGCTGAAGCTTTTTTTAATACCTAAAAGATTACTGACAACACTCACTTTGTGTTGCATCTCTTCTTTTTAAAGTAGATGCTGAAAATTATTTGGATATACAGAAGGTATTATGAAATGAACCAAGAGGACACTTTTAAGTATTGATACTAACAGGGCTTCTTGTCTTTAGAAGACCAAAATTCAGTTTTATTTTTAACAGTCACATTGTGGAAATTTTAAAGTTTAAGCTCAAAAGTTGTTGTGTGTACTGATTTTGCATATACTGTTTTATATTTGATAGTTTGTAGGTCAAAAGCATCAAACACTTCATTTTCTGTATCTTAGTTCCTTCTCATTTGTGAAATAAAAATGTTAGGTTTGTTATGAAAAGTAGGTGAAGTAATTGTTTATGAAAGGCCATGCCCAAAGCCTGGTATGTAGTAGGCACTTACTTATTGGTATCAGTACTAATGTGCTAATGTTCATTTTGTGAGGCAGAGTCTTTCTTTGGTGCTGAACAATCACTGGTAAGAACGCCTTAGTCCCAATGTTATTATGTAGAATTATTTGTCAATTTGAAGAGATTTTTAGAACTAATGATATGTTAGTTTAGAGATAACTATAACAGCAATCACTTTTGGGGAGACTGCCAAGCATATTTACTGTCTTCAGTCTCCTCATATATTAGCTATAGGAGAAAGAATATTAGGCCCTGTGTCAAGAGATTGTTTTGTATTCATTATAATATGTTTTTTACTTTTGTTTTGAATTGATCCTTATTCTGTGGAAAGTCTTGAGTATTCTTCTCTCCTTTAAAAGGTGGTGGGCCCAGGAAAAGAAAATTATCTTCTTCTTCAGAGGCATATGAGGAGGATGAATTTAATGATGATCAATCTTTTAAAAAGGCAAGACTGGATCATGTAAGTTCCATTGAATTGCAGTTTCAAAGTTAGAATATATTGAGTGTGTGGATATCAGACCTGGGAACTGACCTAAATGAATCGGTCTTCTCTTAAGTGGGGCTGTATTATAGCAGTTCTTTACTTTAATTTTAATCATGCAAATGCTCTGAAAACCATGTTTAAGGTTTTGTGCTGCCTTTATGTGGTCGTAAGGAATTTCCCATAGTGCTGGAAATACTAGTTGAAGAAATGTTACCTGAATTGTGAAGGTTCAGAGTCTGAATCCTGGTAGCCATAACAAGCTAGGTTTAGCCACTATCCTCAGTAGACCAACTAAAGAGACAAAGTAATAATGAAAAGCAGAAAAAGGGGCTGGAGAGATGGCTCAGTGGTTAAGGGCACTGACTGCTCTTGCAGAGGACCCGGGTTCAATTCCCAGCACCCATGTGGCGGCTACAAACCGTCCTTAACTCCAGTTCCAGGGAAATCTGAAGCCCTCTTCTGACCTCCACAGCATTGCACAACACGGGTGCACTCACATGCATGCAGGCAATACATTCTTATACATAAAAATAAAAATAATTTAAAAGAGAAAGAAAAGCAGAAAATGGAGATTTGTTCAGTGTGGCCACATTGGGAAGAAGAAGAACGAGGTCTGGCTGGGTGTCGTTGTCGTTGTCATCCCCTCCCCCCCAGCCCATCTTTAGGGTCCTGACATCAAGTTTAGGTTTAAATAGAAATTAAAGTGTATAGTCCTGCCCACCATTGTCTTGGCCTTGGTTGCTTCTGCAAGGTGGTCTGATATTTTCAGAACTGAGTGAAATCACTTTCTGGAGACAAGCTCTTATCCTCTTCCAGTATGATGCTCTTAGGGAAAAAATTTCTAATTTCTTGGAGTCCATTGTTTGACTAGTCTGCTAGCTAAAGATACAGATACAGAGTATCTTTCTAGTGTCTTCACTTCTGTAGGACAATTGCAGATGGAAAGTAGGAAAGCAGAAGGAGGTGCTGTGAGGGTATGAGACATTTGGTCATGCAGTTTCTGTCTTTAACTTGCTTAAGTCCATTTGGTTCCTGATTCATGGAAAATGATGAGTAAACACAAAAACTGCATCAGGTGAACCAAGCCGCTCAAGAGCACCACTTAGAAGGAGGGCTATACAAGGAACTAGGAAATAAAGGATAAGAAGGAGCTTAAGAGAGATGGGACCATAGCAGACAGTAATTATCAAGGGAGAAATGGGGAAAATGGGGGCACTTTAAATGGGAAGGATGGGGAGGGAAGATAAGACAGGGAGAGGTAAATAGTGCCTAGCTAGTATAAAAAACAAGAGGGAGCTGGGTGTGGTGGCACACGCCTTTAATCCTAGCACTCAGGCAGAGGCAGGCAGATCTCTGTGAGTTCAAGGCCAGCCTGGTCTACACAGGACAGCTGGGACTACAGGGAGACCCTGTCTCAAAAAAAACCCAGAGGGAGGGGTGTTAGTCCAAAAACCTACTGAAAAATTACATATACAGTATTTCTACATGAGTCTGTGAATATACCTGAAGGCTGTATAAAAAGAAGCAGTGCTAGACAGGAGAAACCTTTCTTTGAGTTGTTGTCCAGGGAAGTCTAAGAGACTCCCAAAATTACACGGGCTGTTGCCACAGTCCTTGATTGCATCTCAGAACTTGATGGTAAGACCCTATTCCTGAAGACAGGACATACTCTGGGCACAGGATTTGGAACACTGGAGCTTGAACTGACCTAGAAGCCACTTCCCCGAAAGCTGGCTCTCATAGCTTTGGAGAGCACTACACAAGCTGGTAAGGGAGAGGATCATCGATGGTCCAATCCTAGCTTCAAGGCCTAAAAACCACATCAATGACCAGCACAGCAGATGACATTGGTGTAGTAGTGGTATGTTTATTTTGGGGGTAATCAACAACTACCTGATTGGACTTAAATAAGTCCACTCAGTGGGAGGAATCTCGTGTGGTACTGTAAACCTAGCCATATACTTATACACAGCTGGAGAGGTTGTAGATCTTAGAGAACACCCCAAGGCTGTCACATCCCTAGACAAATGTAATTTCTTAATATGTACAACATACTGATGCTTAAATTTATACACAGATATCCCAGTCACCACCCATCAGAGAGAGAGAGAGAGAGAGAGAGAAAGAGAGAGAGAGAGAGAGAGAGAGAGAGAACACTTCAGACATCTACTCATTACCTCATTTCACCATGTGTATTATCCCATGTATATTTTCTGTTTCATACCATGTATATTTTCTTATTTCAAATTTATGAATTGTTCTGTTTGAAGCAGCATTTAGTTTGGGGAGATGACTGAGTTGGTCATGTGTTTGCTGTGCAAGCATGAGGACCTGAAATTGGATACCTAGCACCCATGTAAAACGCTGGGCATGGCAGCTGTAAGTAGATCCCTAAAGCATGCTGGCCAGCCTGCGTAGCCTAATCAGAGAGCTCCAGGTTCAGTGAGACACTTTGTCACCAAAAATAAGGTGGACAGTGACTAAGGGAGACACCTTTGGTGCGCACGGCACACCCACACGCACGCGCACTAATAATAAAAAGTTGCTGTATGTGGACCATGTCTATACTTCCAGCACCCTGTGCTTGGAAGACTGTAGTAGGCTTCAATTAAAACCTCAAATTTGGAATAGCAGCTTCCAATTGGGGTTATCACCTAATTTTTTGTCACTTTGAGTGAATTCTCCAAAACCCAATTTTGCTCTGGACCAAGGAGGTATAGTACGCTGGTGTAGGATAATAATGTTTTCTGAAGTTCATTCAGCAATGTGGTTGTGATTATTGATTTGAGTGAGAAGGACAATTCTTGGGACTTTGATTTGATGCTTCCTACATTGTTGTACATACTCCATGGTTCACAGAGCTAGTATGTGCTTTCTGCCATTGGTAGGTTATACCTCTTCCAGCTGTGTATTCCTGTTCACACGAGTAAGTTCTAACTCCTTGGCCCACGGAGACAAATTTTGGTCCAGAGTGTTCGTATGCTGTGGGAAGCCCCAGTGTAACCACTGGAACTTTCGGACATTGTCAGCAGGTAGTGATGATAGAGCTGGTAGAAGAGGGAGATCTGAGAGGAAACAGCAAATGGGGAGGCTCAGCAGCCATTGAATTCCCGTGATCAAAAGCTGTTTTCCAGATATCTGTATTTTGAAGAGACTTTGGTTATTGTTGTTTGGTGCTACAGATGTACTCAAGACCTTTGCACATGCTCAGTTCTATACCACTGAAGTATACCTAAGCACCATGTTTTATTGAGGTTAAGTACATATAGCATAAAATTACTATTTTAGAGTGGATAGCTTAACATAGTTCGACATGTTTTCATCACTCGTGATGGCATGCTGTACTTGTTAAGTAGGTCTTCCCCATTTCTTCCTTCACCTTGTCCATAGCAGTCAACAGTCTGCCTTCTCCCTTTCTGGATTTACTTTTTCTGCATATTTCATGTTATTCTAGATATTTATTCTAAATGTAATCATATCTTTCAAGGTTACCTAAGTTGTAGCATGTAGTAGTTTTTGTTTGTTTCTTGAAATAGTCTCACACTGTAGTCCAGGCTCACCTTGAACTCATGGCAGTTCTGCCTCAGCATCCTGAATGCTGGAATTAAGGAGTAAGCCACCATGCTAGGTGTGTATTTCTTTTCTTTTTTCTTTTTTTTTTTCTTTTTGGTCTTTTTGAAACAGGGTCTCCCTGTAGCCCCAGCTGGCCTGGCACTCACTCAATATATTTATTTTTATTTTATGTGTATTATTTCCTACATGTATTCAAGTTCACCCATGTCTTGCAATGCCTGCAGAGGACAGAGCAGCCAGTGCTCTTAAACCACTGAACCATCTCTCCAGCCCCATTTTTCATTCTTTATTATGGCTGAATAATATTCCCATTTTATGAATATGTGACCATGTATCTTTTTATTCTCCATTGATAAGCATTTAATAGCTCTTTTTAAAACATTTTTTGCTTTATTTTTATTTTATGTGTATTACGTGCATGTATGCAAGTGCACCTGTGTCATGCAATGCCTGTGGAGGACAGAGGGTGTCAGATCCCCTGGAACTGGAGTTACAGATGGTTGTTAGCCACCATGTAGGTGCTGGGATTTGAACCCAGATCTTCTGCAAGATCAGCTCTTAATGGCTGATTGTCTCTCCAGCTCAATATATCTTTAAAAACAAAACTAAGAATGAGCTGAATATGGCAGGTGGAAACTAATCCCATAGCTCCTGGGAGGTAGAGGCAGGAAAATCAGGAGTCCAAGGTCATCTTGGCTGCCTGGCAAGTTCAAGGCCAGCCTGTGCTACCTGAGACTCTGTCTCAAACAGCAAACAGATAGGGGCTGAAGAGGTGGCTCACTGGTTAACAGTCACAGGACCCCCATTTCAATCCTCAGCATCCACATAAGGTGGCTCACAACTGTAACTCTTGCTTTGGGGGATCTGACACCCTCTTCTGTACTGCACTGGTGTCTGCACAAGTGTGAGAGACAGAAACACAGACATATACATAAAAATAAACTAATTTAAACAAACAGAATCTGGGGAGGTGGCTCTGTTGAGGACCTAAATTAAGATCCCTAGCACCCACATAAGCTGGATATAGTAGTGCGCATCTATAACCTCATCATTAAGGGTCTGAAGTAGGCTGAGCCCTAGAGCTTGTTGGCCAGCCAGTCTAGGTAATTGGTGAGCTCCAGGTTCAGTGAGATTCCCTGCCTCAGAAAAGATAGAGAGCCACTGAAGAGGACACCTGACGTCAACTGTACATGATGGATATGCATTGTACATGGGTATGCACCCAGGTGCCCATCTACCTATACACATGTAGATACATGAACATATAAACCACATGTATACTCTGAAATGCACTATTTAAATGCTTGAGGTTGAGGAAGATTTGTGTACTGGGAGAATACTTCCCCCAGTTGTTGTCCATTTGTGACCTTTAAAATGCTTGTACTTTGAGTTTCAGTGTCCTTAGTGAGGTTAGAATGAATTTATGAAGATTTTGAAACTCTTTAACTCCTGTTGCTATTTCTCTTCTCAAATTCCTGTTACTTCTACGCTGGGCCTGGTGTGCATGCACTCGGAGGCATTCGGGAGTCAGAGGCAGGCACATACCTGTGAGATTGAGGCCAACCTGGTCTACATATTTTATGTATATGAATATGAGTGTATTGCCTGCATGTATATAAGTGCACCCATGTTATTCAGTGCCCTGGAACTGGAGTTACAGACAGTTGTTAGCTGCCATGTAGGTGCTGGGAACTGAACCTGGGTCCTCTGCAAAAGCAGCCAGTGAGTGCACTTAATTACTGAGCCATCTCTCCAGCCCCAAATGCATGCAATTTTTCCCCCCTCCTGTTCCAGACTCTCATAGTTTGTTGTTTGTACTGTTGGTGATCTAACTCATGGCCTTGTACTTGTGAGGAATCACTCTACATCAAACACTTCTGTGTAGGATTTTATTTGTGTATATCTCACGAATTTCATATTGTTGCTCTGTGTCAAAAACTCTGATTCATAATTTTGTTATTTCTACTTGGCTATTGAAGGAGGAAAAATAGCAGCTCATTTGTTTGATAATACGGGAGATAAAGGAGTAAGTAGAACGCTTTATCTTGTTATTGATGCTCTCTTAAATTACTGCTCCCCCCCCCCCATTAGGGAGAGGAATCAAATGAGTCTGCAGAATCTAGCAGCAATTGGGAGAAGCAGGAAAGCATTGTATTAAAATTGCAAAAGGAATTTCCCAATTTTGATAAACAGGTAAGAGTAGTGTACAAACATTTCATGTGTATTAAATGTTTGCATTAAAATTAGTGTTTGATCCCAGCACTCGGGAGGCAGAGGCAGGCGGATCTCTGTGAGTTCAAGGCCAGCCTGGTCAGCATAGTGAGTTCCAGGACAGCTGGGGCTACAGGGAGTCCCTGTCTCAAAAAGGACCCCCCCCCAAAAATTAGTGTTTGAATTTATCCATATACAAACTTGGGGAAAGATCTGTGGTTTTTGAATTATATGCTCTCCTTTTAATAATATAACATACATATTTTATATAACTTGTTAATTACCTTACTTGTTTACTAATTACAGTATCAACCTTATAAATTATAATAAACATACTTACAGTACAATTTTGAATCATTTCTAAGTGTAAAAACTGTCCTAGCTCCTTTAATCATGCTTATTCTTGAATTTTTTCATAAGAATTTTAAGTTGCAATGCTGCATTTCAGTGTCTTAATATTCCATAAACTTTGTTCTACTTTCCAGATAATATGAATATTTTCAGGGCCAATAATGACCTATGCTAAGCATGCCTGTGCTTTTAAAAGGGCCTCTGCTTTATTGAATATTGAAGCAGGTATTTGTTTGACATTTGGAATATATTTACATTTGCATGGATGTATTCCACTTTATGCTCATACAACACATCTGCTAAATTCTGATGAACTGAATTTAAATTCTTGTTGCTGTTTATGTATGTTGCAGTCAAATGTTTTGGAGCTGGGGATGTAGCACAGTTGGTATAGGGTGCTTGGTTACCATGCACAAAGACTTAGGTTTCATCCTCAGAAATACATAAAGTTAGGCATAGTGAGAAGTGCCTGTCATCCTAGAACTAGGTAGGTAGAGTCAGGAGAATCAGAAATTTAAGGCCACACTTGGCTACATAGCAAGTTGTAGGCCAGCCTAGGCTACATGAGATCCTGTCTCAAAAAAAAAAAAAAAAAAAAATGAGTGATGAATGATGGTGAAATATCTGTTTTAGTTACTTCAGTATTTCTTTATCCTCTAGTGCTTAGAATACTTTAGGGAGAGTTAGGGGGAAAAGCCTCCTTCCCTTTGAAAATGAATTTGTAAGATGAAATCAAACAGAAAGCATTTGTAAAGCAGTATTAAAACACTAAAGATTAAAATAGTGATGAATTCTTTATATTTTCAAGTGATTATGTTCCAATAGAGGGGTAAACATTTTCTACATGTTGCTAATTTCAGATTTTTTAACAGAAAAATCAATTATTTTCAGGAACTGAGAGAAGTGCTCAAGGAGCATGAGTGGATGTACACAGAAGCTTTAGAGTCTCTAAAAGTGTTTGCAGAAGACCAAGGTAACTAGATAATGCACAAATCTTGAGTTATGTACTCTGCTGCAGAAGATAGGAAACCTGTTAGCTACTATGGAATGCAATTGCAAATGTTGTTGAAGTCATAATGTGAAAATGTTTTAAAGGACCAATTTCCAAATATTTTTGGACCTATTCATCATAGTGTAAATAAAGCAGGGCATGATTTTTTTCTATTTGTACAGTCTTTCATGATAGTTAAAGCAGCTTATAAACTGCTGTGTTTAATTGTTTACATATTGACATTCATCCACAGAATGAGTCTTGTAATTGTTTGTGTATTAGCCTCCCCTTGCATGAATTTGGAAAGCACTAGCCTCAAAAACTTAGCAACATGGTATGATTAACATGGAGGAAAACTTCTGAATCTATACTGGAATACCTTGAACTCTGAGAAAATAGTAGAGGAGAAAGGAGGTGACATAAGTTAAGCTTCACATATTTAGTGATATTTGTAACCAGGTATCAAGTGAACTTAGCATTTCATTATTATAAAGACAGCTTTTAAAGTCCAATTATGTGTTTTTTTTTAATGAATTAATTTAAGAAATGCTGTTCTACCAATATTCTGGCATAGAAGATTATCTTGTGTTTAAAAGGAAATTCTCTAGAACCATTCATTCTGTATCTAAAACTGAATCAGTAGAAATTTAGGGACTACTTTTCTAATTTATTTTTGTTTTTCCCTTCCTTTTTTTATTTATTTATTTTTTTGTCTTTTTGAGACAGGGTCTCCCTGTAGCCCCAGCTGTCCAGGAACTCACTATGCAGACCAGGTTGGCCTTGAACTCACAGAGATCCGCCTGCCTCTGCCTCCCAAGTGCTGGGACTACAGGCGTGCGCCACCAAGCCCGACCTGTTCTGGCCTTCTTTTTAATATGGGCACAAGAATGAATATATGATAGTTTATAAGTCTGAAAGCATTTTAAGTAAGCAGAAAAATAGAAATTCTAAATAACATGCACTCACCTCTCACTATTTGGGGAATTCAAGTAATTGGAGCTCAATTTCCTTATGTAAAGTAATACATTTGCATATAACCCATACACATTTTCCAATACACCTTTATCATCTTGAGAATACTTAGACTACCTAACACAATATAAATGCTATGTAGATAGCTGTTTTATCTTATGTAGAAAATAATGACAAGAAAAAGTTTATATGCATGTTCAATGTAGGTGCAATGCTTTTTCTAATATTTTTGGTCTATGGCTTGTTGAATCCATGAATTTGGATTCAACAAGACCAGCTGTATTCTATTGTATAGATTAATTGGTGCCTCTTTAAAAACGAAAACAGTATAAAACGCATACCTTCATTCACAGACATCTTAGAATTCAATGAAATACAGAGAAATGGTGGTTTTTGATACTATATTTAAATAATTTTTGAAAGATGGCAAACTCAGAATAGTAAAGTGGTCAAAAATTTATAATATGGATATTTGGGAAAGACAATTTCTTAGTAAGCTTATTGTAGGATGAACTGTGCTTTGCTCTTCCCATCAGGCTGGCATGAGGGGGTTGTACTCCTCTGTCTGTCTGGGGCAGTTTCTGGATATACAGCTGCCTTCTGTGTTCTTGGGACCTTGGTTTGAGAGGAAATTTATATTTAACTCAGTTTTTAAAAGGAAGCTGTCACCTACTTTTGAAACTAATCATTCTAATAAATTGATACCTTCAGATTCTACTTCCTATTACTCCTCAGGTATATCAAGATTTTACAATAAGTTGTGGTTGAATTCTTTTGTATTCAAAGAAAAATGTAAATGTTTATATACTCTTCTTACTTGAAGTCTTTTGTCTTTATATTTGAATTTAATTCATAGGTTCCTGACTTAGTTATTATTTTTATATTTTTTTGTTACACAGATATGCAATATGCTTCACAAAGTGAAGTTCCGAATGGAAAAGAAGTTTCTTCAAGGGGTCAGAATTGTCCTAAAAATGCAGCCAAAACAAAAATGAAACAGAAAATTTCCATGAAACCACAAAATGGTTTTAACAAGAAACGTAAGAAAAATGTATTTAATCCTAAGAAAGCCATAGATGACTCTGAGTACGATTCAGGTTCTGATGTTGGTAGCTCATTAGATGAGGACTACAGTAGTGGTGAAGAAGTGATGGAGGATGGCTACAAAGGCAAAATCATTCACTTTCTTCAAGATGCCTCAGTTGCTGAACTTACTTTAATTCCTCAATGTTCTCAGAAAAAGGCTCAGAGGATAACAGAACTCCGGCCCTTTAATAGTTGGGAAACTCTGGTAAGGTTACATTCTTCTTTCCTTCCGTGTGTGTGTGTGTGTGTGTGTGTGTGTGTGTGTGTGTGTGTGTGTATTTAATTTACAGTATCATTTGTAGTTAGGTTGTCTTCAGCCCAGGGACGCATAGATGGGTGGCCTTATCCTGTGTAGAGTCAAACATTACTTTCATTGTAAGCCAATAGTATTTCAAATAGTGTCATATGACCTAATTTTGAATGAATTAAGGGGTGATTTTCCTGAAAAAACCCAAGCTGATTGGCTGGGAATACTGTCACTCATTCTTTTGCATAGAAACTTAGTTCATTTCACTGGAGAAGAAGAAATTAGAGCTTACTTTTAGGAAGGAGTTGTTTGCTAGCCTGTTCTGATCTGCTACTGCTGAGACACCATGCAGACATCAAGAATGTTGCAGAAATTTTACTAAGCTGCTTGAAGAGCAGTAGCAGCATCCAGAGAAGCGCCATGATCCACACTGCCAGCCTGAGAGTTTCATGCTAATCCACAAAGAAGCAATTGTTTCTTTTTCTTCTAAAAGTGACAGCTCTAACATGTTTTTCCTGGTTAAACAACGTGGCCATTTTATGGAGTGTAGCAAGCTGCAGCAGTTTCAGTTAGTAGCATAGCAAAGTTTGTGGAAGCCTAGAATTCAAGTGTTAAGTGGAAGGAGGGCATGGACACTGGTAAGTACACTGCATGATTGTTTTGGGGAACAGTTCTTAGCTAAAATACCTGCTTTTTGAATTTTTTAAAATGTCAGCAGTCATCAAATCTTATTCCTGTAGAGGAATGTAAGAACTCTTTTGTAGTAGATTTTGCTTCAACTTTTGTGAAAATGTGTTTTATTCATGAGTTGTGTACAGGCCCTGCAAGCAAAGCAATATGGATGGTTATTTGCAGCTTTAAGAGGTGAAGCCGCTCTTGTGTACAGGCTTTAGAAAGTTCTGTTCTCTTTTGGGGAGTGCAGATCTGTGCATTTGTGATTAATATTTTACCTGTAGTGAATCTAAGTGAGCGTGAATGACCTTGGAGTGTCTTGAAGTGGTGATGGGGAGAGTCCCTGCACAGTAGTTGTAAAAAGCATTTTTGAAAAAGTATTTGAGGTATAAAGAAAGTCTACTAGTCCATCGTAACTTTAAAAAAATAATAAAAACATTCATTTTGCCCTAAGCATTTGCTTTTCTCGAGAACATCTGTCAAAGCAGGTCCTTTCAAAACTTGTTTGGCTTTGCCCGAATGATTTATTTGTTAAGGTATTCGCTGAAGGGCTTTCTTGTTCTTCCTTTCTTCTTTTCTGTTTTCTTTTAATCTTTACTGGTCTCCTATGTTATTAAGGAGTTGGGTTGCTCAGGCTTGTTAGAATTTTAGTTCATTTAATAAGGAATGCAGTTATCGACATTAATTTGTTTAGTCACTGTATTGACTTGCCCAGATATCTTATAGTAAAAGTAGATTATAAAATGTTACCAGAGGTGTATATGCCAGATGTTTAAAAAAAAAATCCAGCAATTTCACAAGTAGAAGACATATTTCCCTAATTACTTGGTAGTTTATATCAGTCTTGACATGAATTTTGAAATTATACATTACTTAGTTTAATCTCCTAACTTACCTTCCCTTCAAAAAGGTGAACATGAAGACTGTATTGCTTGTTCTTCCAACTGTCTTAATGCTGAACATTTTATGTAATAGTTAAAAATATCTTAAGGTAGATAACTTACTTGATTTCCATGAAGGCAGTATTTTGTTGTCTTGAATAAAGTATGTAACTTAAGTTTTTGCAAATTAATAGCTTACCAAGTGAATCTCTAAGCCTGAAATACTAATTTCCTTAGAACATTAGATGCTACTTTTTAGGAACTACAATTTTGAATGTCACTGTAGAGTAATTTATAAGCAAAATTATCAAAGGAAAAGTTAATGTTATGCACATTTTGGTAAAAGCTATGTAGTTTTACTCTTCTATTTATTAGTGAGGTTTCATACTATTTATTAGTGAGGTTTCATAATATATCCATGAACAATGTTAATAGAATCATTATTAAAAATAGTCCAACATTTTTATTTTGCTATCTACTGTATTTAGAATTTTCTGTGGGAGTTAATTATGTTTTAGTCATGTTATAGAAAGCTTTGTGAAATTTGCAAGGTATTAAATATTCAGGCTAGCCTGCTTAAACTTTTAAAATTATTGTTGGAACTTTAGTCATGAGTGTTACAAGACTATTTGATAGAGTTTGATCAAACTGTAAAATTCATGATTATCAAAAATGCATACTTGCCTGAATCAAGTGAACGCGTATATTTTATCTGTATTCGTTTTGAAGATGAAATTCTTTTTTAAAAAATATTTTATTTTATGTGTATGAGTATATTGTCTGCATGTTTGCAAGTGCACCCATGTCCTGCAGTGCCTGTGGAGGTCAGAAGAGGGTGTCAGATTCCACTGGAACTGAAGTTAAGGATGGCTTTTAGCCACCATGTGGGTGTTAGGAATTGAACCTGGGTCCTCTGCAAGAGCAGCCAGTGCTCTTAACCACTGAGCCATCTCTCCAGCCCCTCAAACATGAAATTTTTAAGAGACCTTCAGTGATGGAATGCCAGTGATGTCTTGTTGCCCTGTAAACATGATCTGAGTGTAAGAGCTATAAGCAGTGCCTTTCAGAGTCTTAGATGAGTAATACAATGTGAATCTGATACACATAATATGCAGTGTAATATAATTACAATAATTTTTACTCCATATTACAGTTTTCTGAGTTGCCATAATTTTCTTCCCAGAGAACGAACTAACTCACCCCTCCCTCCTTCCCTCCCTTCCTCCCTCCTTCCCTCCCTTCAAGTTAAACTGTTTTCAATTCCAATAACCTTGATTTTACTTGAGAAAAAATTAGTTATTTAAAATGAGTGAATTACTTGAGTATTTGTGGCTTTATTCATTACTATGTTTTTTGTTTTGTTTCTTTGCATCATGATTTAAATATTGTTAAATTTTGTTTGTGAGCTTTCTTTTACCCAAAGTTTTTTTTAGAATAGCAATAGTTTATGTTAATTGTAAGAAAATCACAGCACTAAAATCTAGCAGCCTTTGAAATGTAGCAAACCAAAAATTCTATTAATTTAAAAGTCAGTATTGTTAATGTGGTGAAGTGGTGTTTTTATTGGCAAAATTCACACATCTGAAGGCATCACTCCATCTACTACTTAATTGAATTTTGGTCTGTCTAGCCTTGTATAAAGTAGGGTGGGGAATTATCTGTGATGTACCTTTAATTACACTTTTTAAAAAATATTTTATTTTTATTTTATGTGTATGAGTGTATTGCGTGTATGTATATGAATGCACCCATGTTGTGCAATGCCGCAGAGGTCAGAAGAGGGCTTCGGATTCCTCTGGCACTGGAGTTAAGGACAGTTCGTAGCCACCATGTGGTGCTGGGAATCAAACCCGGGTCCTCTGCAAGAGCAGTTGGTACCGTTAACTGTTGAGCCATCTCTCAAGCTCCCTAATTACCTTTTTCTAAGTTAATTTGAATATGTATTTATGGGGCTGGAGATGTGGCTCAGTTGGCAAGGTGCTTGCCTAGTGTGCACAAAGCTCTGGATTCGGTGCACAGTACCACATAAATCAGACATACACACTCACCCAGCACTTGGGAGCTAGTAGAAGGATAAGTTCAAGACCCTTGGCTCCCTACCCAGCAAGTTCCAGGCCAATCTGGGCTGTAGGAGACCTTGTCTTTAAAAAAAAAAAAAAAAAAGAAGAAAAATGTATTTTTTTAAAAGAATATACTGATCCAGTTAGTGTCCATCTCCTTCAGTAGCACTGATGTACTTTTCCTCAGTTAGCTGAGCACTGTGGATTAGTACTGTGTCCAGTACTGCCCCCGGGCTGCTCCCAGTGACTTGGAACAACCCCATTGTATTTTATTCGGTAAGATGCCTGTCTACATTTGTAAAGCACTGTAATGCATATTTTTTTCTTTGAGATTGGGTGACTTCATTGTTCATAAGATGGGGGCCTTGTTTTAATTTATACAAATTTGATAAACTATTTAAAAATGACAAGTGCATTCTGAGTACATTGTAGGCTGTTGCCAACTGTTTATAATAATGAGTAAGATTAGAAATGTGTTCTCGAACTGTTTCTTAAATAGGGATTAAATACTTTCAGAAATTTGTTTTTAAAACATTTTTCGCTTCCTATAAAAATTCAAAAATATTTGCACTTGAAGAGTGACACACTGTGGTAAGAGAGCGGTACTTCATCTTCAGATACTTCTTTCCTTTCCTTTTGTTAGTACTGGGCATTGACCCTAGGGCCTCGTGTGTGCTAGGGAAGTGCTCTACTACTGGGCTCTATCTGTAGCCCCAAACTCCACTTTTCAAAGTTAAAAGGTCCTTAGAATGATAACTTGAGTTTTTAGTCAAAGAGATACTGACCAGAGGCATATTGATAGTATTTTTTTCATGTAATTATCCAGCAAGTAAAAATTATGTTTTTTTCTTCTGAATAAATACTATTTTTGAAGATGATTTATGTAAAATCGAAACACTGTAGGAATGAAGAAAGTAGTTTATCCAGAATTCTACCAAAATTGTCTACCATTTAAGACAGAATCCGTATCATCTATTATGTGTATACCATGTTTTCTATCATGTTTTGTACATCTGTCAGTAACTTTAGGCTTACTAAAAGTTCTGCAGGCTGACTTATGTTCATTTTTTATTTTATTTTACTTTTTTAGGTATGTTGCCCAGCTTGGCCCCAAGCACACGATCTTTCTGCTTTTGCCTTAACTGCTGGGATTATAAGTGTGTGTACCATGCCCATGTTAATTTGTTTGTTTGCTTGTTTATTTGGTTTTGACAGGGTCTCCCTAGTCTCTAGGCCAGAAAATCATACTGTGGAGCATGCTGGACCAGGATCTCAGAGAGATGCACCTGCCTCTGCCTCCCCAGGGGTGGGATTGGGGTTAAAGGTGGTATTGGGAACCAACTTGAGTCCTCTGCCAGAGCAGCAGGTACTCTTAACTGTTAGCCATCTCTCCAGCACTTGTTTTGAACTTTTATGATCTAAAATTATTTAGGAAGAGTCTGTTTACATTGAAAAGAGCACAGACTTTTATTTCCAGCCATCTATGTGACATTAGAAATGAAACCTTACCCATCCAAAATGGTAGACTAAGCTTGCATTTGTTTTAAGGATAGTGAATTGTTGAAAAAGCTTCTTCTAATTCTTGCCCCAAAATGCCACGGTGTATGTTCCTTCTTGGTTTCTAGTTAATTTTGTTGTATTTTTTTTCTCATGCATACTTCACACAAACTATGTAGTAGACCTGAGATAAGATTTCTGTATAATTTTTTTATTCCATTTAAGAATGGATATTTTAGTGAGACAT